CCCCCAGGGGGGCGCGCCCCACTATTTGAGAAGGACTGGCTTAGCTGAAGCTCCAGGGACATGACTTGTGATTTTCTTCCCATTGAGAGTTTTCATTTTCAGAATCTTCCCTTGCTGAACATGGTCAGCACAGAATATTAACATTCTACCATTACCAATGAACCGGGCTAATGTGACTTCCAATATCTCTTTCTTAACGGCATTGGTTAATCGAATAGGGTGTAGATGAGACCCTGTGGTTGCGTCAAACACGATTACAACTTTCCATTCCAACACATCATTACTTTTGTTTTTCACTACCTTCACCCTCTTCACGTTCTCAGCGCTTATAGCAGGGCAATTGTTTTTACTTTTCCTTTTCACCACAGACCATCCAGGTCCATGACTTTCATCATCCCCACCCATACCATCACAACTATCATCCATGTCGACCACAATCCAGCACAGCTGTTGCTACTCGTTTAATGCTCACCAACTGGTGAGGTATGTCACGATCGTCGTACGGAATAGACCAAGGCGCAGCGTGATGAACGAACATGTTTATTTATCTATAGTGATAAATACTGACAATGAACAAAACAACAAACGACTCGTAACGTCCTAGGTAACATAGACCAACACGGAACAAGAACCCACAAACACAAAGGGAAAAACAGACAGTTTAAATATGGCTCCCAATCAGAGACAACCAGCCACAGCTGACACTCGTTGCCTCTGATTGGGAGTCACTCAGGCCAACATAGAAATAAACAAACTAGAACTTCCAACATAGAAACAGAACACATAGAATGAACACACCCTGGCTCAACATATAGAGTCCCAGAACCAGGGTGTGACAGTACCCCCCCCTAAAGGTGCGGACTGCGACCGCGCCTCAACTAGAGCAAAACAGGGGAGGGCTGGGTGGGCATTCCTCCTCGGCGGCGGTTCTGGCTCCGGCCTTGCCCACCACCCTCCAATAAACCCCCCATAGCGCCCCTGGTCCGGTCTGGCCCCGCTGGCTGGAGCTGAACTGGACGTAGCAGGAGCGGTTAGCTTCAGCTCCGTAGTGGAGCAGTTGACCGGTACCTTACCAGGCACCGGTGACCCAGGCACGGGTTGTGCTGGACTGACGACGCGCACCCCTGGCTTGGTGCGTGGAGCCGGAACGGGCTGGACCGGGCTGACGACTCGCACCCCTGGCTTGGTGCGTGGAGTAGGAACGGGCCGGACCGGGCTGGCGACGCACACCGTAGGCTTGGTGCGTGGAGCAGGGACAGGCCGGACCGGGCTGGCGACGCACACCGTAGGCTTGGTGCGAGGAGCAGGGACAGGCCGGACCGGGCTGGCGACGCACACCGTAGGCTTGGTGCGAGGAGCAGGGACAGGCCGGACCAGGCTGACGACTCGCACCCCTGGCTTGGTGCGAGTGGCAGGAGCAGGCCGGGCCGGGCTAGCGACGCGCACCGTAGGCTTGGTGCGAGTGGCAGGAACAGGCCGGACCGGGCTGGCGACGCACACCGTAGGCTTGGTGCGAGGAGCAGGGACAGGCCGGACCGGGCTGGCGACGCACACCGTAGGCTTGGTGCGAGGAGCAGGGACAGGCCGGGCCGGGCTGTGGAGACGGATAGGAGACCTGGAGTGAAGAGCTGCCACAACCCGTCCTGGCTGAATGCCTACCCTCACACACTCTGTGTGAGGCATCAGCACAGGACGTACAGGGCTGTGTACCCGTACTGGCATAACAGCACGTGACACTGGCGCAGGATATCCAGGACCGAGGAGAGGCACTGGAGGCCACGAGCGCTGAGCCAGCACACTCCGTCCTGGCTGCATGCCCACCTTCGCACAACACGTGCGGGGTGCTCGCACAGGACGTACAGGACTATGCCGGACCACTCGTGGCACAGAACGCCGCTCCGCATACCGCGGAACCTGCCCAGTCCCATGCTGCCATGCCTGAGTACGGGAAGTTGGTTCCGCTCTCCATCCAGGCTCCGCCAACCTGCCTTCTGGCCCCCCAAACCCGGTGGCCTCCTCTCCAAATCGCCCTGTGGCAGCCTCCTGCTGCCCAGCCGCCCATGCCGTGTGCCCCCCCATATTGGGGTTGCCTCTCGTCCGTCCGACGATGACACTGCTGACGCCGCTGCTCCTCTCTCGCCAGGGCCTTAATCCTAGCCCATGGCCCTTTGCCCCCGAGCATGTCCTCCCAGGACCACGATTTGCCCACCTGGGCCATCGCCAACCTCTCCATCTCCTTTCCCGGCGCTTCCTCCCATGTCCAGTCTGCCTGCTCCTGGACACGCTGCTTGGTCCTTGTATGGTGGGTTCTTCTGTCACGATCGTCGTACGGAATAGACCAAGGCGCAGCGTGATGAACGAACATGTTTATTTATCTATAGTGATAAATACTGACAATGAACAAAACAACAAACAACTCGTAACGTCCTAGGTAACATAGACCAACACGGAACAAGAACCCACAAACACAAAGGGAAAAACAGACAGTTTAAATATGGCTCCCAATCAGAGACAACCAGCCACAGCTGACACTCGTTGCCTCTGATTGGGAGTCACTCAGGCCAACATAGAAATAAACAAACTAGAACTCCCAACATAGAAACACCACATAGAAAGAACACACCCTGGCTCAACATATAGAGTCCCAGAACCAGGGTGTGACAAGGTAGCCTTTCTAGGTGTATTGTAGGCCTACGCAGGGTTATTGTTGTCATTATTTAAACCATCAGTTTACTTTTATTAATTAGTGTATATTTTTGTACTAAAGTTCCTGCAATACTTTTCCATTTTGCTCTTTGGATCCCTACAAGAAAATAACAATGTCTAAACTTGGATCCCTGGTGCTGCGACTATCTCCTTTCACTCCATCAACATCCTTTAATCGCCAGTACCATCACTACAAGACTTAGGCTCTAGGTCTCTTTTTTACAATCTTTCATGGCACTTTGCTGCATTTGTAGAGTTTGACAGGGTTTTGTTACTACTAATAGGCTGCATGACGTTATAACAATGTTGCAAATAAGTTGTGACATTACCATGTGACAATGTTGTGACAACCTAATTTGGTTAGTAGAGCTCTCCCTACAAAGCAGTTCAGTTGGTGGGCAACTGGGCATGTAGCGTAATAAAGCATTCTGTAATGGATGGAATAGATGCCCTCCCATTTTAATCGTAATCACCAGAGCTCTCCGCAGAAGTCCTTATCTCTGTGTTTCCAAATCTGATATCCATCCTCAGCCACCACTCAAATTATTACACTGTTGATTTAATTAGTAAAAGCAATCACAATCTGGATGCAAGGTAATTGGGAGAATTTATTAAGCCCTGGCGACAGCTTTATGCATGTTTGATTAAGTATTATAAGGTTTGTTTTTCAGGTTTTGCATAATATACCTTTAAATCCTGTGCAAAGTGATCCAGCCCACTATTAACGACTGTAATAAACTCTTTTTAAAAACGACTCTGTTTATGATTTATTTGTGTGTGCCTTGTCTCTCCCCGACCGTCTGGCCGGACGACAAATAGCCGGGATGTAATCATTCGGCCACCTCGTAAATCTGCCGAATGAAGATTGCTTGATCTGCTGGAAAAGTTAGAGCCAGTTTACAGGGGTGACATGCGCCCCTCTTCAGGGGATGACACGGCACCACGGCCAAAAGTGCATGACCTAGTGATGTCAGAAAGTGAAATGCTTGCCAAGTTTATTATTTATATACATTATAGTCTTTGAGGATCTTATGGCTATGTAAAGTTTATGGCTAGCCTACCACTCGTACCACTGTCGAGGAACAAACTATGACTAAAGGAACTATGTTTCATGAATTTATGAGTTAAAGGCCCAGTGCAGTCAAAAATGTGATTTTCCTGTGTTTTATATATTATATTTCCACACTATGAGGTTAGAATAATACTGTGAAATTGTACAAATGATGATAATGTCCTTTTAGTGTAAGAGCTGTTTGAAAATACTTCTTGAAATTTCAGCCTGTTGTGGTGGGATGGAGTTTTGGCCTGCCTGGTGACATCACCAGGTGGTACGTTAGTTAATAGACCAATAAGAAAGAGAGTTCGAAAACTCTCTGCCAATAACAGATCGTTTTCAGTTTCCCTCTCCGTACTCAGACCACTCCCAGACAATCCTAGCAAAATTCTTGCTTTAGAAATTGCTCTTTGCTAAGAAGCTATTTTTGTTTATTTTTGACCATTTTGATTGGAAAACAATCACAGTAAGGTACGTAGTTGTTACCCAGAAATGATTTGATATTGAGATTTAAGACAACGGCTGCATTGGACCTTTAAACTTTAAAGTGTACTTTATCAAACATATTTAGATATACATTTGAATTAATCTAAAGGTTTCAAAACACACTTACTAGGTCAACATGTTTTAGGAATGACTGCAGTGGGCAGGCAATGGCTAAACCTAAGGTTAGGCCTTTTGTGTTAGGGTGAAACTATCAGTTCACTGTCTCACAACATTACAATGAAAGATTGAGGGTGATCTCTGTTCTCTGAGGATATGACATGAGGTGGCCATGTATTCTATCGCTAAACTCTCTCCAATACTTTTTTCATTTCTAAATCATATTGCAGTTTGGCTTGACTGACATTGATACTGAAGAGTTTTTCACTGTTTTCACACATTCACGAAAATCATTAGCCTCTATGCAACTTGGACTTTGGGGAGGTAGCCTGGCAAGCCCTTTTTCTCACAATAACAATCTCTATCACCCCCGTAGCAAAAAAGAGAACCAAATACAGTTTTAATACTGTCAAAAATTTAATTTCAGATGTTGTCTTGAGAAGAATTACAAATTATTTTTATTTTTATTTAAGAGCAACGGCTGGCAGGTAGGATTTAGTTTCTCCCTGTCGCTGGCCCACACTCCAGTACAGTAGGTGGCAGTAATGCATCATAACGTTGGATGCCAACCGCCGATTAACCCCACTGAAGAAGAAGAAGAAGACGAGGAGGAGGAAGAGGAAGAGGAGGAGAAGAATGACTGAAACATTTTACGACGGGACGTATTGACAGGTTGTCGGAGCAACACTACCGCCCCTGTTGAGTTACATTGTAGGAAGCCTAGCCATCTATATCAATATAATTATGTATCAGAGGGCTGTAATTACTGTTTGTTGATTTTTTGAAAGGTCTTTATGCGACGAGTTATAACATGGTACGAGGAACTCATGTTTGAGCATCGAATCGAATGCTCAGAATTCATTGTGCAAGGCATCTTTCAAGAACTCGAAATCCTTCATTTTCTAAACGAACGGTATGTACAATTTCAACATGATAAATGGCTTTAAAAATAAGATACATATTGTAATGTCAAACGACGTTTCCAAGTGGTCAAGTCTATTGGCCCAGGCTACATCCATAATAGAGATTTTAAAATATATTTGAGAATGTGCATCATATTTTCAATATACATAGGCAGCATAGACCATGATTTACTTCTTTTACAATCAAGGCTGTCCTAATGTCACACTGCTATCATAGTGGGTGTGTGAGAGAGAGGGAGCGCTCATTGCAATGTCCATATTTATTTGGGTGTGTAACACAGTAATGTAACAAATGTGTTGTGCCCTCTTTACAGAGCCTTGTTGCCTTTTGGATGCCTGTAGCGACAGACTCCAAACAGACCTAATCAGAGGTCTACATTCCATGCCTGGGGTTCTGTGTTAAGCTCTAAGCCAGTCAATGATGCTAACCCCCACCACCCCTGAAGCAGAGGACAAGGCCTGTTGCTGGGACTCCCCACAGAAGCCTGGGACTCAATTCTCCCCCTCATGCCTGTGATCCCCATCCCTCGGCGGGTGCGCAGCTTCCATGGTCCCCACACCACCTGCATGCACTCGGCCTGTGGGCCTGCACGCACCACCCAGCTTGTGCGCACCAAGTACAACAACTTTGACCTGTATCTGCGCTCACGCTGCATGTACGGCTTCCTGCGCTTCCTGCTCTACTTCGGCTGCAGCCTTCTGACCTCCCTCCTCTGGGTGGCGCTGTCCGCTCTATTCTGCCTGCAGTACGTGAGCGCCCGCGTCTTCCTGCGGCTGCAGTACAAGCTGTCCGTCATCCTGCTGTTGCTAGGACACCGGCGCCTTGACTTCGGGGTGCTCAACAACCTGTTTATCTACAGTATGCAGGTTACAATGTTCCTGGTGGGAGGCCTGGGCTGGTGCTTCATGGTGTTTGTGGACATGTAGCTTCTGGTGACAACAGTGACCATGGATCACTGTTATATACCAATTTCAGACCTCTACCTAATGCACAGCAGCCATTTTGTACCAAAACACTACCACACAGCAGTAGTTGCAATGAAGGCGTAAGGATGACCAGGAATAGAAGGCGGACAGAATATATAGTGACACTCTTTGGTGCTATTTGCCTGCAAAAGGCTGATGCATACTTACTCTAACACTAAGACTTCTGTAATAACAAGCCTTACTTTAGTTTGGACCATGAGGGGTGGGATGCCTCTCAAGACCCTAGAAGGAAAAAACATGCTATCTTCTGTTTGACTGGAGAAAACAAATGACGCAAAATGTTTAATTCTAAACATAAAGGATACGTTCGTATTGGTGTTGGAATCAATTCCCTAGGTGACCGACATTCTTTTTGTAACATTATTATTTTATACATCCTCTTGATTAAAAAAAGCAACTGTATCGTGCTGTAAAGTATATGGATCAGTGTGTGTATGTGCAGATTGTGTGTGATTGATGCCAATAATATCCGACATGGGCATAGCCTGCTGCTTGAGCTGTGTCATCGAGTCTGTAACAGTGCGAGTTAGGTACAGTGACTGGCTTTGGGTGAAGTGTTCATTTAGTCCCTCACATGGTTTCAGAATCCCTCTCGTAGAGAGAACACTCTGTTCGGCCTCCCTCAGAAAACAATAGCCAATCACAGCCAGACACCTCAGTCTCTGCCAACCAAAACAATGGCTGTGGCTGTGTCCCAATGGTCTCCTTTACTCATCTCCTTCCCTACACTAGGACTGATCTGATAAGGATAGGAAAGGCTGTAATGATAGGATGAGAACCTATTCAGAACGTTTATCTATCAGTGTGGTCATGTGTAAAGCCTGTAGTTTTCACTCACCATCTGCCAATAACTTTCTCACTGTTCATTTTAACTACTGAAATCATGATCAATTTCTCCTAAATTCTCCTCCTTTCCTTGTTCCCTTTTCTGCAAGCCGAGGCCCTGGCCAGGAAAATGTCTGGGCCCTAGTTATAGTCACAGCCTCTGTTTCAGTACTTAATCAGTAAACAGTGCGCAAGACAAGTTTCCACCATGCTACTTTCTATTCAGTCTGTTTCAGATCAGTGCTCAATACTAAGGGAAGGAGGCAAGAAAACCATTACAAAGATTTGGCACTCGGCCCCAGTCGTTGGATGGAGCACAGAGATGGAGGACTCATCTTAATATCTGTGCCATTATAGCATCTGTGACAGCATGGGCAGCGCCAGTGAGGCTACAACCCATAGGAAACCCCACCCAGTTGACTACTTTGACCAATTAAAATGGCGATGTGGCTGAGGACTGGCATTGGGCCGAAGTGGGTAAGCATCACAACCCTGTATTGTTCTAGGATCAACACATTAAATGTTTTAGTCATTTAGCAGACACTCTTATCCAGAGCAACTTACAGTTAGTGAGTGCATACATTTTCATACTGGCCCCCCGTGGAAAACGAACCCACAACCCTGGCGTTGCAAGCGCCATGCTCTACCAACTGAGCTACAGGGGACTACACATCATATGCCTCATACTCTGGGCCACTCAGATTTGTTAGCCTAGTTTGTATGTCCTGTTAAAACTGAAAGGATGGAAGGATTGCATTTTTGACATACAGTGCCTTCATAAAGTATTCATACCCTTTGACTTATTCCTCATTTTGTTGTGTTACAGCCTGAATTCAAAATGGATTAAATAAAAATAATTCTCACCCATCTACACACAATACCCCATAATGACAAAGTGAAAACATGTTTTTAAAAATGTTTGCTAATTTATGGAAAATGAAATAAAGAAATATCTCATTTACGTAAGTATTCACACCCCTAACTCAATACTTTGTTGAAGCACATTTGGCAGTGATTACAGCTGTGAGTCTTTCTGGGTAAGTCTCTTAAGATATTTCCTTACCTGGATTGTGCAACATTTGCCCATTATTCTTTTCAAAATTCTTCAAGCTCTGTCAAGATGTTGGTGATCATGGCTAGACAACCATTTTCAGGTAATTGATTTTCAAGTAATAATAATAATATGCCATTTATCAGACGCTTTTATCCAAAGCGACTTACAGTCATGCGTGCATACATTTTTGTGTATGGGTGGTCCTGGGGATCGAACCCACTACCTTGGCGTTACAAGCGCCGTGCTCTACCAGCTGAGCTAAGTCAACTGTAACTCGGACACTCAGGAACATTCACTGTCTTCTTGGTAAGCAACTGCAGTGTAGATTTGGACTTGTGTTTTAGGTTATTGTTCTGCTGAAAGGTGAATTAATATCCCTGTGTCTGATGGAAAGCAGACTGAACTAGATTTTCCTCTAGGATTTTGCCTGTGCTTAGCTCCATTCCGTTTCTTTTTTAGCCTGAAAAACTCCCCTGTCCTTAACGATTACAAGCATACCCATAACATGATGCAGCCACCACTATGCTTGAAAATATGGCGAGTGGTATTCAGTAATGTGTTGTATTGGATTTGCCCCAAACATAAATCAGGACAAAAAGTTAATTACTTTGCCGCATTTTTTGCAGTATTACTTTTGTGCCTTGTTGCAACCAGGATACATGTTTTGGAATATTTGTATTCTTTACAGGGTTCCTTCTTTTCACTCAGTCAATTAGGTTACTATTGTGGAGTAACTACAATGTTGTTGATCCATCCTCAGTTTTCTCCTATTACAGCCATTAAACTCTGTAACTATTTTTAAGTCACCATTTGCCTCATGGTGAATTCCCAGAGCGGTTTCCTTCCTCTCCGGCAACTGAGTTAGGAAGGACGCCTGTAGCTTTGTAGTGACTGTGTGTGTTGATACACCATCCAAAGTGTAATAACTTTCCCATGCTCAAAGGGATATTCAATGTCTGCTTTTGTTATTTGTACCCATCTACCAATAGGTGCCCTTCTTTGCGAGGCATTGGAAAACTTCCCTGGTCTTTGTGGTGGAATCTGTGTTTGAAATTCACTGCTCGACTGAGGGACCTTACAGATAATTGTAATAATAATGTTGAACACTATTATTGTACACAGAGTCCACGCAAATTGTGTGACTTGTTAAGCAATTGTTTACTCCTGAACTTACACTGAGTATACCAAACATTAGGAACACCTTTCTAATATTGAGTTTCAACCCCCTCCTTTTGCCCTAAGAACAGCCTCAATTCGTTGGGGCATGGACTCTACAAGGTTTCAAGCTTTCCGCAGGGATGCTGGCCCATGTTGACTCCAATGCTTCCCACAGTTGTGTCAAGTTGGCTGAATGGCCTTTGGGTGGAGGGCCATTCTTGATACACACAGGAAACTGTTGAGCTTGAAAAATCCAGCAACGTTGCAGTTCTTGACACAAACCAGTGCGCGTGGCACCTACTACCCTTTCAGAGGCACTTTAAATATTTTGTCTTGCCAATACACTCTCTGAATGGCACACGTACACAATCCATGTTTCAATTGTCTCAATGCTTAAAAATCATTTAACCTGTCTCCTACCCTTCATCTACACTGATTGAAGTGGATTTAACAAGTGACATCAATAAGGGATCATAGCTTTCACCTGGTCAGTCTATGTCATGGATAGAGCAGGTGTTCTTAATGTTTTGTAAACTCAGTGTATTTAGGCTTGCCATAACAAAGGGGATGGATACTTATTGACTCAAGACATTTCAGCTTTTCATTTTTGATTAATTTGTAAAAATGTCAAAAAACATAATTCCACTTTGACGTTATGGGGTATGGTGTGTAGACCAGTGACAAAATTCACAATTGAATCCATTTTAAATTCAGGCTGTAACTCAACAAAATGTAGAACAAGTAAAGGGGTGTGAATTCTTTCTGAAGGCACTGTAGCTGTACAATGCAATATATAGACATGTATAGTAGGCCTATGGCAAGTAGGGTTGGGTTTTTTTATTTTAATTTTATTCAACCTTTATTTAACTAGGCAAGTCAGTTAAGAACAAATTCTTATTTACAATGACGGCCTACCAAGTATGGTTGGGGTTAATTCCAAATCAGTTCAGTTGAGGAATGTAAAGAATTCACCTTGTATGAAATGAGAGTTGCAAGTTATTTTCACCAACAGTTCAAGTCTAGTTCATTCCCTGAGTTGATGGATGCCAGGTGAGTTGACCCTCCATTGAACCTGGTCGTCACTAGTTACCACACCCACAAAGTCAAAATTATGGCTAAACCCTGCCTATTTCTACAATTTATATTCTTAAAATCTGATTTTAAACCTTAACCACACTGATAATCTTTTGCCTAACCCTAACCTTAAATGAAGGCCAAAAAGCTCATTTTTATTTTCATGTATTTTTATTATACAGCCATTTTGACTTTGTGGCTGTGGTAACTAGTGACAAACATTGACCCTCATTAACACTCATGGCAATGCAGTGAGGGGTCTACTTCTATTATGGATGTAAAATGCTGCCATTTTAATATGAAAAATATCTCAATCTGTCCGAAACTGTTCAGAATGCTTATGTGGAAAAGTACATGTGAAATGGACATGGTATGTTATTGTTATTCTGTTGCTGCTGTTATTCAGGGAATTGTATTGAACATTTTCATATTACCAAAGCTGCTCGGGAAGAGCATATGAATAAATGTGTATATATATATAAATATATATATCTTAGTCTGCTTCATGTGTTTTTATTTGGGTCATTCTTTACCATGTATTCTCTGTTATATAATAAATACTGTGGCGAAGCTTGATATGCTGTAGTTGTTTGCAATGTATGTGGACTGATAATTTATGGTTTCATAGAATTCAAGAGACACATTTCCATATTGTGTTGTGGTATTTCGATTTTTCTCATACAATTGTGTTGTATACGGAAATACATTAGGATACATTATAACATGTATACAGTATTAATGATGGGGACCTTATGGTTATTAACCATTACCAATGACCGTACATGTGTTTATTAACAGTGGGAATAGTCTACACTGAACCCTCTGTTGA